TTTCTTTCTTTCTTTCTTTCTTTCTTTCTTTCTTTCTTTCTTTCTTTCTTTCTTTCTTTCTTTCTTTCTTTCTTTCTTTCTCTCTCTCTCTCTTCCTTCCTTCCTTTCTTTTCACCAGATCTTAGTTGTGGCTCGCAGGCTCCTTAGTTAAGGCTTGCCAGCTCCTTAGTTGTGGCTTGTGCGTTCCTTAGTTGCGGCTCGCCAGCTCCTTAGTTGCAGCACACAGACTCCTTAGTTGTGGCATGTGAACTCTTAGTTGTGACATGTATGTGGGATCTAGTTCCCTGACCAGTGTTCAAACCCAGGCCCCCTGCATTGGGAGCATGGAGTCTTATCCACTGCACCACCAGGGAAGTCCCACTGGTGCTCTATTTCTTTGTGTGGATCTGAGTTACAATTTCTCTTCAGCCTGATGAACTTCCTTTTTAAAATTTCGTATAAAGCAGGTCTGATAGCAATTTGTTTTCTTAGGCTATTTTTCTGAGACTGTCTTTGTTTGTGGGGCTTTCATTTTTTAAGGGTTATTTTTCTATATATAGAATTATTTATTTTTTTAAAATTAATTTTTTAATAACAGAATTAGATATATAAATCATATAACATGATTAACCCATTTAAAGTATATAGTTCAATGGTTTTTAGTAGTATATACACAGAGTTGTGCAATCATCACTACAATCAATTTTAGAAATTTTCATCATCCAAATAAAAGCCCTGTACCCTTTGCAGTCACTCCCCATCCTCTACCTTTTTCCATCATCCCTAGGCCTCTACTAATCTCCTTTGTGTCTGTATAGATTTGCCTCTTCTGGACATTTTACATAAATAGAATTATGCAACGTGTGGTATTTTGTGACTGGCTTCTTTCACTTAGGGCATTACTGTCAAGGTTTGTCCATGTCATAGCATATACCAGTGCTTCATTTCCTTTTGTTGCTGAATAATATTCCATTGTTTGACTATACTACATTCTGTTTATCCATTCATTAGTTGGTAGACATTTGGTTGTTTCCACTTTTTGGCTATTATGCTGCTATAAACATTTGTGGACAAGTTTTTATGTGGTCACAGGTTTTCTCTTGGCTACATATATAGTAGTGGAATTTCTGGGTCATATGATGTTTCTCTGTCAGTTTTGAAGAACTGACAGACTGTTTTCCAAAAAGGCTGTACCATTTTCCATCCCACCAGCAATGTATGAGGGCTCCCATTTCTCCACATCCTCACCAACACTCGCTATTATCTGTCTTTCTGATTATAGCAGCATTTGTTTTATAAATGGTATTTCTTGATATTTTGTAATACATTTAGACATTTTAAAATTTGAAATATGTTAAATATTGTTTACTGCTGTTTTGCTTTATGAATTCTCAACTTAAATACTAATGTTAATACATATTTCAGTATTAAACAAAAAAAGGACCCCAAATCTTCATTTTTTCCTCTGATTATTATTATTTATTTATATTTTTGGCTGTGCTGGGTCTTCATTGCTGTGCGCGGGCTTTTCTCTAGTTGTGGTGGGCAGGGGTTACTTTTTGTTGTGGTGTGTGGGCTTCTCATTGCAGTGGCTTCTCTTGTTGCGGAGCACAGTTTCTAGGCGTGCAGGCTTCAGTAGTTGTGGCTCGTGGGCTCTAGATTGCAAGCTCAGCAGTTGTGGCGCACGGGCTTAGTTGCTCTGTGGCATGTGGGATCTTCCTGGACCAGGGACTGAACCGGTGTCCCTTGCATTGGCAGGAGGATTTTTAACCATGTACCACCAGGGAAGTCCCTCACTGCATTACATTTTAAAGTCATATAAAAGAATTACTTGGCTATATGAAATTTATGCATTCTTCCTTAAAGAAAGGAACATCTATAGAGATACAGAAGTGCATTTGGTATTCATTACTGGTGATTCTGAATAAAAAGAATTTAGGTTTTAGGATATAAGGTGAGAACAACATTAGCTAGAAACTATACTAACCAATGGATGGTTTCTGGAAATTTAAAGGCTAACAGTTTCACTTATTAACTTGGGGAAATAAATTATATGTATATTGTAGACCAATGTGACAGTTGCAAAAACAGTCTAAACATGAATAAGAGAATTTGATACATTTTCTAAATGCCTTAAAAGAACCTTTCTCCTACCCTCGTTCAATGTCCATTTCTAGACTTGACTTGAGTATTGTGAACACTTACAAAGTTTGCTCCAAAAAACTAGGCCATCACTGTGAATTAATAAACATCACAAAATGACTTAAATCACCATGTACTAAGTGGCAGGTCCTTGTAGTAGTTGAATGAGTATTGGTTTTCTAGAATGGTAAGAAGGCTGAGAAGTTGCATAGTTTGCCTCATTTATCTTACAGGTGTGGAAAATAAAGATGAGGTGAAGAGACTTTCTCAAGTTCTCATAAATTTACAGCAGAGAGGGACTATAACCAAGCTGATTCCTGATTGGAGGCTATTTCTGCAATACCATGATGCTTTAAGTCAAAGTTTAAAATGCATTTGATTTGCCCCTTTGTTTAAACCTTTAAAAAAATGAGCATGATATAGCCTAAAATAGCAAGCAGTTTTGATGAACTCACATTTTTAGCTATCAGCCAACTAGAAACCAAATATAATAGCAATGTTAATATCAGAGTAGATAATGGATATATTATTAAAAGCAAGTGTAATGATGACAGCCTTCCTGTTTCCTAGGCTATTTTAAGAATCATAAGTTCTCTAAGTGCCCATCATCGGATGAATGGATAAAGAAGATGTGGCACATATATACAATGGAATATTACTCAGCCATAAAAAGAAACGAAATTGAGCTATTTGTAATGAGGTGGATAGACCTAGAGTCTGTCATACAGAGTGAAGTAAGTCAGAAAGAGAAAGACAAATACCGTATGCTAACACATATATATGGAATTTAAGGAAAAAAATGTCATGAAGAACCTAGGGGTAAGACAGGAATAAAGACACAGACCTACTAGAGAACGGACTTGAGGATATGGGGAGGGGGAAGGGTGAGCTGTGACAAAGCGAGAGAGAGGCATGGACATATATACACTACCAAACGTAAGGTACATAGCTAGTGGGAAGCAGCCGCATAGCACAGGGAGATCAGCTCAGTGCTTTGTGACTGCCTGGAGGGGTGGGATAGGGAGGGTGGGAGGGAGGGAGACGCAAGAGGGAAGAGATATGGGAACATATGTATATGTATAACTGATTCACTTTGTTATAAAGCAGAAACTAACACACCATTGTAAAGCAATTATACCCCAATAAAGATGTTTAAAAAAAAGAATCATTAAGTTCTGCTAGTACATATTTTAGGGTCACTAAAATTACTTTCTAAAATAATTTTTGAAACTAGACTAAATTACTAAGAAAATTACTTTCAGGTGACAAAGGAACACACTTCTGGAAGAGGAGCTAAAGAGGTTTAATAGCTCTTTCTTATCTATCTCATCACCTGAAAAATGTGTCGAGCAGTAACTTCACAATTTGAATATTACAAATGAAAAAGGGGAAGAAATAGAAATCCACCCAGTTCTGGAATTATGGATTGAGTTTTGGAAGATGATTTGATCTTGTAATCTTTTTTGCTGGTCCTCTCTTGGCATTTACCATTTTCTGATTAGCTGGATTATATCCTTCTGTTTTCACTGGATTCTCTTTCATTGTATGCAGTTGATTCATTGGTTGTCTTTTAGAAACTTGGTGTGAGCCAGAGACCTGAGACATTTTAGCTAGGTATATACGACGTTCATCATTGATCTTGTGGTAAGCCTTTGATTCTCGTTCCAGTCTAAGTACATAGTCTTTTACTTGATTTTCAAGGCTCTTTTTTTCTTTTGCTGGCTGTTTAAGTAATGTACTTAAGGATTCCACTGGCATCCGCTCATAGACATGAATAGAAGATAGTCTATGTGAAGGATTTCCACGGAATTTTTTCCACTTTCTCTCTGAGACTAACAACTTGCTTTTCTAGTTGATCATTCTGTTCAAGTTGTGTCTCATAACAGGTTTTCCACTCACTGCCTTTGTTGTCAGTACTGAGTTTGGCTTCCAGTTCCGCTACCTTTTGTCTTATTTCAAGTATTGAGATTTGTACTAAGTCTTTCATATGGATTTCTTCCAATAACTCCAGTTTAAGGAGGTCAGTGCTCATGCCTTAGAAGGTGTCACTTCTTTCACCCCCCATAGTGTCAGGTCAGAGATCTCCCACACCCTTCCCCTCAGCACAGCTTGGAGCAGAAGACCTGAAGGGACATCCAGAAGCTGGGGATGAGAAAGTGCTGTCATGAGCTGTTGGTATGGTGAACTGACTCAGAATTCCTGGTTGAGCTTCTTTCCCCCAGCACTTTGAATATGTCATAATACTGACTTCTTGTCTCCACTGTTTCTGATGAGAAGTCAGATGTTAATTTTATTGTGGTTCCTTTGTATATGACACATAATTTTCTTCTCACTATTTTCAAGTTTCTCTCTTTGGCTTTGGCTTTCAACAGTTTGACTATGATCTCTCTAGCTGTGAATATCTTTGAGTTTGTGCTATTTAGAATTCATTGAGCTTCTTGGATGTGTAGATTAATCTTTTTTTAAATGAAATTTGAGAAGTTTTCACCCACTATTTCTTCAAATACTTTTTATGTCCCTTTTTTCTCCACTTCTCTTCTGGAACTCCCATTATGCATACGTGGTGAGTTTGATGGTGTCTCACTGGCCTGTGAGGTTCTTCAGTTTTCTTCGTTCTTTTTACGTTCTGTTCCTTAGACTAGATAATCTCTATTGATCTACCTTTTTTAATTTTAATTGAAGTATAGTTGATTTACAATGTTTCAGATGATCTACTTTCTATTATCAACTCAAATCTGCTGTTGAGCCCCTTGAGTGAATTGTTCATTTCAGTTGTTGTACCTTTTAATTCCAGAATTTTCATTCATTTCTTTTTTATAATTTGTATGTCTTTATTTATATTCTCTATGTGAAGTCATTGTCATCATATATTCCTTTAATTCTTCAAACGTGGCTTCTTTTAGTTCTTTGAACATATTTATAATAGCTTATTTGAAGTCTTTATGTATTAAATCTATCACCTAGACCCTCCCAGAGACAATTTATATAAGCTGCTTTTTTTTTTCTGTGTATGGGCTGCACCTTGTTTCTTTGTTTTTTAATTTTAATTTTTTATTTTTGTTTAGTGATGTGCTTGGACTAATTATGTAGTGTCTATTTCCCCTGTAGAGTGTGAGAACTGGAATCTCTGCTCAGTTGTTTTTTTAAAATTCTTTTTAAAAAACTTTTTATTTTATATTGGAGTATAGCTGATTAACAATGTTGTGATAGTTTTAGGAACACAGCAAAGGGACTCAGCCATACATATACATGTATCCATTCTCTCCCAAACTCCCCTCCCATCCAGGCTGCCACATAACATTGAGCAGAGTTCCCTGTAGGAAAAGGAACAGTAGGTCCTTGTTGGTTATCCATTTTATTTTTTTTTTGACAAAATAATACATTTATTACCTATGATCGGCAGATATATTGCTCATTTATTCTCTCCATGTTTAAAAAGAATTTCAAAATAACAAAATAATTATATACACCATACAATTCAGGGTAAGGTTGGGCTCAGGGGACCACTTCATTGTTCACAGGGTGGACAGAAACCTCTATCTCCAAACATTTTTTGAGCTAGTTTAACTTTCAGCTCTGAGTCTGGTCCCAGTCTTGAAATCACAGAAGGTTAGGGCCTGGAATTTTCTCAGCCATAGGGATGAGGTTCTAGTTCAGACAGGAGGAAAGGGCTTCCTGGAAGGGACCAATAAAGCCTCTGAGGCAGAAACATGAGGAGGCAAGAGCAGAGGGCACTGGGGCTGAACCAGAGGGGCCTGGCATGGGGGGAGGGGGAGGAGCCCACTCCCGATCCAGCATTTCCTTGTGCTCACCCCTGTGTCTCCACTCAGTAGAACAGGGGCTGCCTTAGAGCACCAGCAACTGGTAAATCTGATGGAGGAGCTTTCTCCTTGTAGCTTCCAGAACCTGAAGACAGGACCCAGTAGGAACTTTGACTGGATTCATGAGATCCCAGGATGCCAGGGAGTTACATACCCTTGATTATTGAGATGGCCCTGCCAATGCGCCCAGTTCCTGGAAGGCATGGTCAGGTAGTTTTGAGAAATATTGTATGATATCCCTTATATGCGGAATCTAAAAAGAAATGATACATATGAACTTATTTGCAAAACAGAAACAGACTCACAGACTTAGAGAATGAACTTTCTCTTTCTCTGACTTACTTCACTCAGTATGACAATCTCTAGGTCCATCCATGTTGCTGCAAATGGCATTTTTTCATTCTTTTTTATGGCTGAGTAATATTCCATTGTATATAGGTACCACATCTTCTTTATCCATTCCTCTGTCAATGGACATTTAGGTTGCTTCCATGTCTTGGCTATTGTAAACAGTGCTGCAATGAACATTGGGGTACATGTATCTTTTCAAATTATGTTTTTCTCCAGATATATGCCCAGGAGTGGGATTGCAGGGTCATATAGTAGCTCTATCTTTAGTTTTTTAAGGAACCTCCATACTGTTCTCCATAGTTACTGTACCAATTTACATTCCCACCAACAGTGTAGAAGCGTTCCCTTCTCTCCACACCCTCTCCAGCATTTATCGTTTGTGGATTTTTTGATTATGGCCATTCTGACCGGTGTGAGGTGATACCTCATTGTAGTTTTGATTTGCATTTCTCTAATAATTAGCACTGTTGAACATCTTTTCATGTGCCTCTTGGCCATCTGTATGTCGTCTTTGGGGAAATGTCTATTTAGGTCTTCTTCCCATTCTTTGATTGGGTTGTTTGTTTTGATGATATTAAGCCTCATGAGCTGTTTGTAAGTTTTGGAGACTAACCCCTTGTCAGTCACATCATTTGCAAATATTTTCTCCCAATTTGTGGGTTGTCTTTTTGTTTTATTTATGGTTTCCTTTGCTGTGCAAAAGCTTTTGAGTTTAATTAGGTCCCATTTGTTTAATTTTGTTTTTATTTTCATTATTCTGGGAGACGGATCAAAAAAGATATTGCTGTGATTTATGTCAGAGAGTGTTCTGCCTATGTTTTCCTCTAGGAGTTTTATAGTGTCGGGTCTCACATTTAGGTCTTTAATCCATTTTGATCTTATTTTTGTGTATGGTGTTAAAGAATGATCTTGCCCTTATTTTTTCTTTCTTTTTTCCCTCATTCTCATTTTTAAGCCTAGCTACCTAGAATTAACCCCTGGGTCATCATAGTTTAGTGGTACGCCAGTTATTGGTCCAAGATTTTGCTTAAACACTTTAGCCTGTAAGGCTTTCCATCCTTTTTCCTAGGGAATCTATTTATGTGTTGGTACACTCATTCTAAGTTCAGGCAGTTAAAAAATCTCTGATTTTCACTTTCTGCTTATACACGGCCTCAAAGTCAGCCATGAGTGAATAGATAACTGGGGCCATCTCTGGTCTCCCCTGAGCATGTGTGCAGCCCTGTGTGTGTATTGATACATAACCTTCCAGATCCCCTGGAATAAATGAGGGCTTATCAAAGCACCTATGGTTGGTCTCATTTTCCAGATCTCCTTTTAAAATTTCGGACTGGTCTGTTGCTTGCTCTAACCAGTATCATAGCCTTAGGCAGCTGTGACACTGACCTTCCCTGATTATTTTCCCCTAAGATCATTATTGGGCATGAGGCTTTCTGTAGAGCTTCAGATTGGGTCAGCCCTTTCAGCTACCATGAGACTGCCAGTTCTCTGGTCCTCAAGGTCACTGCACCTTGGAAGTAGGGACATGGGAGCAGCCCCAAGTCAAAATACTACAGATCCTGCTGTTCTTGCTGCCGTTCAGCAGCTTTTCTTGTACAAACACTTTTCAATGTGTTGTATGCTTTTCGTTCATTTCCAGGGTTCTGAAATGGTTGATTTTGACAATTTGTCCAGTTTTATCATTATTTTGGGGCGAGAGGATTTGGAAAGGTCCTCACTGGGCCATTCTGGAAGTCCCACGATGTCTAGTCATTTTTTAAAACAACTTTTGGAGGTGTAATTCATAAACCATACATTCCACTCATTTAAACTGTACAATTCAATATTTTTAGTATATTCATAAGATTGTTCAATCATCACCACAATCTAATTTTAGAACACACCTAGTAATTTTTGATTGGATACCAAACATTGTGCATTTTACCTTGTTGAGTGCTATATATTTTTGTATTCTTATAAATATTCTTAAATTATGTTTTGGGATGCAGTTAAATTACTTGGACACAGGTTGATCCTTTTGGGTCTTGCATTTAGGATTTGTTATGTGGGACCAGAGTAGTGCTTAGTCTAGTGCTAATTATTCCCCACTGTGAGGCAAGACCCTTCTGTGTACTCTACCCAATGATCCATGAATCTCGAGCTCTTCAATCTAGCTGGTGAGAACAGGCAACTTTCCTGGTCTTGTTAGAGTACCAGCCACTGTTACCTCTAATCCTTTTGGATGGTTCTTTCCCCAGCCTTGGGTAGTTTCCTCATACACATGTGCTGGTCCATCTGGTCAGTACTCAGATGGATCCTTGAGGAGGACCCTCTGAAGATTTCTGAAATTCTCTTTCTATGCAGCTTTCTTCGCTCTGGTCCTCTATTCTGACAACTTTAGCCACCATATTGTCTCTAGACTCTCAGCTCCATCTCAACTTTGGGAGTCTGCTGCCATCAACCTGGCTTCCTCCTTCGTGTGCCACAGCCTAGAATCTCTCTCCAGGCAGTAAGATGGACAAATTGTAAGGCTACCCTCATTTGTTCCCCACCTATCAGAGATCATTGTACTTTGTTATCTGATGTCCAGTGTCTTGACAACCATTTCATATATATTGTCTAGTTTCTTTGGTTGTTTCAGATGGGAGGGTAAATCCGGTATCTGTTAATCTTTCCTGTCTAGAAGCAGAAACAATCATTTGGGGGATTTTCTAGGTATCTTATTACTGATTTCTAATTTAATTA